GCATGATGCTAGTGACCTGCTCCAAGGCTGTGACAAGTCACCTTCTACATCTGGTCTCTAGGGTCTCAGTTAAGTAGCTGAAACTTTAAAATGCTCTCAAGTGAGATCATAAGCAGCGATGAAGCTTATATAATATCTCAGTCTTTCTCCCTCTTTAGCCTGACAAACATTTCCACTGGAACCCATGGAATTAAGAGAAATTTTGTAAGGCAAAATACATTCCTGAATAGGCGTTTGTACTAATTCAGGTGCTGGAAGTGGTATAGCCACAAGGCAGCATGCTCTGTGGGCCAAGGTATTCTGCTTCTCGGCATGATTAACTTAGCAGGATGGAGCACAGCACTGTATGGCTTTTAGTACCTATACTGGCTTAATGAGCACTAGCTTGCATATCTCTAGGTGATGTATTTTTCCACAAAGATGTAAGTCGGGAATCACCTAGAGAGAAAGAAGACTGGAGATTTTCCACATCCCTTCTACTTGAGAGTAAGTTCATATACTTTGGGGCAAGCAGACACCTTTTGCATTTCTGCAGGTAGTAAAGATCTCAGAGGGAAAGCGCAGCTTTGTATTTGAAGCAGTGGTGCCTCTGGACACAAACTAACCAGTGCATCCCCAGCCCCTCCCTACAACTTCTGTCAAGACAGCACTTTTTCCTTTGGCATCTGTGCAAGCTGCCCAGGGGCCAAAAGCAGAGCAGGTACTGGGGGCACCACCTGCTTCGGTAACTTCCCTCTTGTTCTCAAAGCAGTGAACCCAGTGGCCAAACCCTTGATGGAGCAAACCCTTGCCATCCTAGAAGAAATAAGCCATTCCACGTGGTACAAATTCACTATCATGGAATCATAGAATAGTTTGGGTTGGAAGGGACCTCTACAGGTCATCTAGTCCAACCCCCCTGCCATGGGCAGGGACATCTTCAACTAGATCAGGTTGCTCAGAGCCCCGTCCAACCTGACCTGGAATGTTTCCAGGGATGGGGCATCCACCACCTCTCGGGGCAACCTGTGCCAGGGTTTCAACACCCTCAGCGTAAAAAATGTCTTCCTTATATCTAGTCTAAATCTACCCCCCTTTAGTTTAAAGCCGTTCCCCCTTGTCCTGTCGCAACAGGCCCTGCTAAAAAGTTTGCCGCCATCTTTTTTATAAGCCCCCTTTACGTATTGAAAGGCTGCAAGAAGGTCTCCCCGAAGCCTTCTCTTCTCGAGGCTGAACAACCCCAACTCTCTCAGCCTTTCTTCAGAGGAGAGGTGTTCCATCCCCCTGATCATTTTCTGATCATGCCTGTGGATGACTTGCTAGTAAAGAGCCTGAAGCCCAAGAGCTTACAGCTCTAAAAATCAAAATTCCCCTGCCCAAGTGGAGACCGACCTCTGTTAGCTTAAAACCTTGAGTGGCACCAAGGGCCCTGGACAGCAGCCAAGCTTGCTCCATTCCCTGGGGCGGGAGGTGGAAGGAAGGGAAGGCCCCTTCTCCAGAGGCTGGCTCAGGACACTCCAAGGGGAGTAAGGGAAGGACAGATGCAAGTTGAGGCAATTTGCCAAACAAGGACAACGCTCCTGGGGTCTCACCAGCTCTGTGAGGTCATTAGGTGCCAAAGCAGCTCAGTGAGGGGATGCACGGTGGGAACAGGTTCTGGTTTAGCAGAAGAGGTATTTCCTTCTACAATGGGATGGATTGCAGAAGCGTTTGGTAGCTGCTGATGTGCAAGAAGGAAGGCGAAGAGAGTAGTTTCCTTCTCAGGTGGTTCAGCTGCTGTTTGCAGGCAGAAGAACTGAAGTAAAGAACTCGGGTCTGCAATCCTCCCCCTTGAATACAGGGCATATTGCAAGTATTCAGGGCCCAGGATAAACAAAAATAGAAAAACATTTGGTTTCAGTTCACATCTTAGTGGTGGCTCATGTTTTATTCCTAGTACAGAAAGGGCACAAGTTCCTGTGAACAAAAAAGTCCCCTTTCTTTCTGTGTGTGTTTCAGAAAACCAGTCAGTAGCTATTGAACTCAGGAAAACTTCAGTCACCAGCTTCCTAATTCTCAAAGCAGTTAGAGCCCTAGTCTTTTTTTACCTTTTATAGTCACAGGACTAGTCAAGCAAAACCTTGATTGGGTTATTCTGCTTTAATTACAAAATGCACTCAGACCAAAGGCGCAATAGTACCTGGGACATACGTACACATTTCTCCCAATTATAACACCAAAAATCAAAAGGCCAGGTCTGGTCCTGCTGTAAATCAGCCATTTCCCTCTGGCAAGATCTCTGGAGTATGAACAGACATCCCAGTAATGCTTGAGCTGCCTCTTGTGCGCAGGACACCAGACTCTGTGTTTCATCATGTACTTTGAGATCCTTTAGGGTGGACCATACAAGAGAAGGGAGGCAAAACTGGAACCTCAGGGTAATTGGAGTCCATATCCCACCACCCACCACCCTCTGGAAAAGAAAAGCAGCGATGGGCCACTCTCTCCTTGCTGCAGTTAGGACAAGGTAGATAAATCACAAGGGTTTTTTTATTGCTGGTGAACTCAAAAACAGGCAACTTTAATCTACTGAGGAAGATACACGTACAAACAAATGTTAGGCCTTGTGCGTTTTTTTCTTCTTAATGTAAATGTCTCTACAACTTCAGTCCAGCTCCCGAGCTCTTGCTGAGCTGCCACTGAGACCCCGGTAACGTGCTCTGGGCACTTCTGTAAGACGTTGTAAGAAGCATCACATGTAGTAAAAAGGGAGATTTTGCAGAAAAGACAAAGCTCTGACTGTAGCCACGTTGCTCAGAAAGGACAAGTCTGGCTAATCCTGCTGCATTAGGTACATGGTATTATGTATAATTATTTTAATTGATTTAAGAATTTGCCAGGTCCCTTTCTGTTTCTGGTGTGCAAGCTGCAAGTAAAGTGCACTTCTGGGTGTAAATTACCACTCTATGAGGATGCAATAGCTGGATGGTATTGTCAGACATCAGTGGAAAGCAGACTACAATAGCTGTTACAATGGCACAGGCAATAAGGATAATGGAATAAGATACTAGATGCTGCTGGGAAACCTCTCCGTAGTTTGAGCATCTAAATATTACATCACTGAGCAAAACCAGTGTAATTTAGTGGGGAGCTTCTGAAGTCAAGACACATGACTCTGATTGTCCACCAGGTTAGCTCTGTGAACAGCCACTCCTCCCCCATGGTCCCACCAAACCGTGTTGCTAACTCCTTTTAACCTTTTTAAAGAGTTTTGTAACAGCTAAGGAGAAGGCAGGGATCCTAAGGATGTTTCTATGAAGCTGAGGGTTTCAGATGATGCAGGGGTGGTGTAGGAGGCAGCACACCACCACACTTAAGCTACGCTGTGAGAGGACAACCCAGCTTTAGACACAGCGTTTAATGACCCTGACAGAACCAGGGCCAAAATGGGGAGATCCTAACTCTCACCTGCACCTTGCAATTCTTTTTCTGGTTCAGTAGAGTTCATCTACATTATCCCACGTACAAATCTCACCTCTTTTTTATCCCCATGTAGAGTGTCAGATGACTGTTTTGCCAGGGTCTACATGCCCGAGACCATCAAGGCTGATAAACTACATACTGTTCCTCTGATTTCATAATACTGGCATCACAGCATGAAAAAAAAATCTGTTCAGTGTTTGTTCTCTTTTAATTTAATGAACTATAAAAAGGGAACTCTAAATACCCACCTAAGTATTCTGGGTGCTTCAGGAGACATTGCATACGCCAGGGCAGATTTTATTAACTCCTTGCCGCCGGTGTTTTCATGTGTCCATTGCCAGCAACGGATGCCGTGTGAGAAGGAGGAGGGAAGGAATAAAATAATTGCACTCTGTGATACAAAAAGGATTAACACTGCCTTCGTAAGAGCAGAACCAACAAGCAATTCACCTCACAGGGCCAGGAGTGCTTTTCCTCTCAGGAATGGATGCCCCAGGGCAAGGAGCAGGTTCACAGCTGAGCACTCTCTACCAGAGACAGGGGACCCACACAGAAATAGCCTGGCCATTTCCAATAAGAGAGTGGAATCCCACAACCACACCAACACGTTTTCATTTCAAGCCAAATTGATCCCTGGTGCAGGTCTGTTGACTATGGTGGAAGAACACATAAAATTAATCTGGCCCTACAGGGCAACTACAGCAAACCTCCCCCATAAACCAGTTAGGAGTGAGATACATCTGACAGCTGGAAGCTCCATGTTTGTTGCTAACTTCAAAAGCCAAGACTTGCCAGAACGAATTACGAACCTGTGGCTGCCACTATCAAGCACTTTCCCTGCACTACAACTTTCCCTATACTCCTTGAATGCCCCCAGTAGTTTAAATTTCAAACTGTCCCCAGTGCAGGTAGTTCTACAATGGAGCCACAGCACTCCCTCCTGCTCCACCTCTCTACTGCTGCTCTTGTACCCTAGCTCGAAGCCTCACTCAGGCAGAGCATGAAGAAGTGCTCTTCAGAAAGGGATTTTTTGCTTTTCTTTTTTTTTTTAATAATCTATCAGGCAGCATGGCATATCTCTTGCTGCCTCCAATTATTGTCATGACAATATGGCTGTGGTTATTTAAAGCAGAATTTGGGAAGAAAAAGCAAATCCTCTTGATACACTGAGGAGAACACTGGGCAGGAATGAGCCAAGACCTGTCAGTGCTGAAGGAAGGTGAGAGTCAGTGCCAGAGGATCGAATCCTGGACACCACATTAGCCGCATGAAGATTTTGACCTTCAAATACAATGGGTTGCAGCCAGACTAAGTCATCAACACCACCAGAAACACAGGAATCCCTGGGATGAAAGGCAGAAAACTCTTGTGGCCTGTACAGTCTCTACAAGGTTTACTGGAGCTGGAATCTGCAGCAGTCCTTCAGATAAGGTCTGCTTTGAGGGGACAGAGGAGATGGGAAGACTTACGCTATTTCTTGCGCCTTTTGCCAAGACTCAGATTGCACAGATTATGGTAAAATTCACTCGGCAAAAAAGGCCTTTATTAAAAAAAAAAAAAAAAGAAAAAGAAAAAAATTCTAGTGAGTATCAGGACTGAGATTTCAAAAAGTACAAGATCTGTATAAATTCAGCAAGATGTCCAGCACCAGATTATTTCGTGGTGCAACAAAGAACCTGGGGAGAGGCCAATGGGACCTCGCGAGGGGAACACCATCTACCTCCCCAGCAGACTGCCAGTCTTAGGTTCTTCTCAACAGCAGATGGATTCTCCTTGTTCCTGCAGCATCTCAGGTCCCACGGGAGGTATTGGTTGCAAGCAAGCACCTGAATATTGCCTAATGGAGTAAGCCAATCACTAACTTAGCTGGCGTGTCCATGCCCATCCGCTAATTAGGTTTTTTTCTTTTTGTATGCATTTCCACCATAGCATTTCTTTTTCTTCTTTCTCCACATAAAAGAGTAAGCAAAAGGACTGCTTTCATCTGTAATAAGTTAAAATCAGAAATGACCTAACTAACAGGTAACTGATATTGGTCCTTGGAGCCCAAAGAGTAAAATCCATAGAAAATCTATTGGTTCCATTTTTTTCTGGTATATCCCATGCACACCCCCATTAGAAAAATGGGGTTTATGAATCTTATCATACAGCAAGGAGCAGTACCTCAGAGCCAGAGCTGACAGTCCATGGTAGAGGTCTGGGCTCTCTCAGATTGCTAAGTGTGGTTCTGAGTCACTGCTCAATCAGTCTTCACATGGCCGTTGGCCAAGGCAACGGGGACAGTGGGGGCCCCTGGCTCAGCAGTCTCATCAAATCGTAAGCGCAGGGTGTTTCTGATCACCAGCTGCTCCATGATGAAAGAAGCACAAAACCATGGGATGGCATACTCTAGGGTGATCAGGCCCATGAAGTCAAAATCAAACTGGGAATAGTCCCATGGGCAGGCATTGAACTGGCGCAGGATGAGGCCGGTTGTAAACTCCCAGAGGTATGTCCAAAGTGTGTAAATGAAGCAGCGCACTAAAATGTTACACTTGTCTTTGAGATATAGATACATCTTCTCCACAGTGAGGATGGAGGTGCCATAGATGAAGAGCGCCCACACACTGGTAACACCTGGGAACTTCCAGTTAAAGTTGACCACAAACTCCCAAGCAGCTGTGAACATCACCTCACAGAAATAGCCGTGAATAGCGTAGAGGTACCATCGGGAGAAAGCGGTCAGAGGTTCTGCTGCAGCCATTCTTCTGCACACACCCCAGCAGGCACTCTGAAATGAAGAGAAAAAAAGAGAGAGAGGAAGAGAGAGAGGAGTTAACGAGGATGTCACAAGTCCTTATCCCCCAGATGGCAACACACACAAACTCGTAACGTCCACAAGGGACAAATCTGAGAAAGAAGTGAATTTTAAATCGTCTCATTTTTACCACAGCAAATTTTAAGTCCTGGGGAAAGGTGGCACCTTACCGGGCTCAGTCTCAGAATGGGCCTGGACAACATATACTGCTCTGCCCAAGAAGCGGGATGCAGCTGGTATTGCATTGGTGATAAGGAGGGAGCTGACAGGTACAAAGGCTTTACCGGGGTGAGGCTGCCAAAGAACTTTGGTTGCAAGTCAGTAGAAAGATACAGTCATCTCGCAAGGAGCGCCCATCACTTTTTTGCTCTTTTCAAGAAACAGCACTGTCCCCTACTTTTCTAATACAGAATAGATTAGATGAACGCAGCATTGAAAACCTGGGCCCTTCCAGCTGTCACCTATAGTCTCTACACCCACAATGTTTACTGCAGTGAAAAACTGAGTTTTGATGGGAGCTACAGAAAGGGAACTGGAGGGGAAAGTTTCAGAGGTTTTATGCTTTCAGACACCACACCTTGCACCCAATATTCAGCTGAACTGTTATTTCTTCTGTTAAAGAACTCATGCATTGTATGGCTAGGATTTGGAAAATAGTTTTCTTATGGTGTCAGACTGCCTGATACCAAGTCAAAAAGCACAAGAGAGCCATTGAAATCCATTCAGATTTGGCTTCAGGACAGCAAAACACAAAGGAGGAGAATAAAAAGGAACAGCTGAGCATAGTGGTTAGTCATGATAAATAGGAAACGAGAACAAACTCTAATTGTCTCTACAGGAAGAAACTTGGTGAAGAGGTTTTGAAAGGGCACCATTTGCTTATCACTGAACTGTTTCAGCACAATTAGTTTTTACACTTTTTGTAGAGATTTACAAGGTCCTAAGCATTGCTCTGCCACGCTACAGTCCCTGGCCCAAGCTGATTTTAAGCATAATTTTACTGAAGCCTTACGGATTTACACCACAGGGTGAATTTGACCTCTTTCATTCTTAGAAACTTACTCTTTCAAGCTGGGTTTCTCTTGTCTCTTCATCAGGCACTATTTAACTTCTTTGCTCTGCATTTGTCAGTTGTGGCGCAAGGTGCTAGGAAAGGACCACACTAATGTTACATGCAGTCATTCCAATGCCATCTAGAAAGAGACTGTTCCTGCCCCGCTCTGTAAACACGGTGCCCCTCTGAACAAAGCATTAACACGCAGTATGACTGAAATTCTGAGAGGAGATGACAGAAGAGAATCGTTTATAAGGAAAAAGGAACTATAATAATGATCATGAAGATATGCAGAATATTCACAGGGGAATATTGAAAGTGGAAAGAACAGAGCTGTATCCATGACCTATTCACTGCTCTCTTAAATGGACACCCAAACAACCAAAGTCTTGGCAGTTCATATGATATGGGTGCTTGAACAAAGACCTATTTCCTAATGGCGCAATCCATTTTACACAGGACACTCAACTACCACCAGATGCTACAGGTCTAGGTCAACAGCACATTGTGAGCTTGTGGGTGAAAGACTAAGGAGTCACTAGGAATTCCCTTATGTCTCCTAACAGTTCAGTCCCAAGAGAGCCTGCAAGACACCGGTGGAGGTGGCACCTGAGAAACATGCAGGGGGTGTTATCCCCACACAGTCCACAAGAAGCTGATGTGTAAGGGCACCACAAACTTTCCCTCTGAGGATAATGAGAGTTTGACAAGGTAATGTTACTTGATTAGTTTGCCAGCACAGTTGATAAGCTTAGGAGTTTGAATCCTCAAATCATTCCTCCATTCTCACATCATTTCAAGAACAAATCAATAGTCAGAGGTACAGGAGTAAGGGAAAGCAGTAAGAAGGAAATGGACTGTAGGTATCTTGTCAGAATGGGGATATATGGCTGCAGCAGGAAGGGAGAAGTTTTTTATATCTGAGGAGACAGACATCAAAGGATGCAGAGGCCTTAGAAGTCATACCTATTGCTAGGTAAGGCACTGAGGAAATACAGAGCGTCATTCTCCAGGGAAGAAAATGACTGTAAAGTTTTTACTAAGCTGCCAAGGGATTCTGTGGTTTTCCTCTCTTTTCAATAAGCCTTTCTCAGCTTTCCACTTGCAGTCCTTAGTCCTTGCACTTCCCTCTACAGCTTTACATGAAATGTATTAGAACTGTTAGCTGGGAGCATCCACAGCATGCAGTAACTATCTGTAAGGTTTTCGTTGTAATTTTGAAAATTTCTTCACAAAGTTGGATCAAATGCACAGAAGGTCCTTCCCTCTCAGTCCCTCCCCTCTTATTCCAAGGATCCCCTCACCAATTATTTCCGTTGCCTTACACCTGCTCACCAAAGCCTCACACAAATATATCCAACAAGCCATGTCCTGTTCTACCCCACACTATTTCCTCTGTGCAATGAAGGTTTCTCTTTCCTGGTTCTATACCACATACTTAATAATTATCTATTTATTCTCTATTTCTTTTTTTACACTTTGCAAAATATCTAGTCACTATACTAGAAGTATAATAACTGAATGTAGACCGGGTCTGGGACAGCGTCTACAATAACCATTTGCAAAGACCACTGTTGACTTCTTTTGAATCCTGAACCTTTCACCACAACTGCAAGGAGACAAGCATCAATGCACTGACACTATCCCAATATTTGCCTTCTACTGTCATGTGCCCAGTCAGCCCAACCTTGATGGGAACTTCCTTCTTACGATATGCTTGAAAGAGTCCTCACAGGCTGCCTGCTGATTAAGAGCATCCCAAGACAGGGCAGATGCCAGACTGTGGTAGCCCAAACATAAATTGGTTCCACTGTGCTAAGCAAACCCATAAATCACAGCTCCTCCTGTGAAATATGTCATTCAAAATAAAAAGAAAAGTACACAATAAGACATTGAAGGGAATGGAGGATACCTAGGGAGACTACAACAAGTTACAGCACATCATTGCACAAGTTGGGGACTGCACAATGTAATGGTTACAAGTCACTTGAGCATTTACAAAACAATTAAAATTGCAGCTGTTCCCAAGCATCTTATTTCCCAGCAATACCAAATCGTCTGGTGCCTGGTAGGCAATACTGCACGAAAAGGTCTCAAGAGGGAAATGAAGGAGAAAAGTCTTGTTTTACCGGGCAGCAATTCATGATAAAAGGATCAAGCTGAAAAGTAGTTGCAGGACATTAGCATCCAAACAGAAAGCCAAGACTGGATTCAGTAAGAGATGCAGGTTTGTGAAAAGCCTCAAGCAGATAATTGAACTTGGTGATGCAAGACTTTTAATGGAGTGACAGTAATACAGACCAAAAAGCTCTGAATGTATGATAAGTATTCAGTCTCCTGAGGAAAACAAATGACGTTCATCACTTGAGGTAGTTACAGTGGGATGGGCAGCGGCTTCCTGAAATCTAGAAACACAGCTGCCACCTACACAGTTGTCTCAGCAGAGAGCAAACAAGTCCTGGAGGCTGCACATGGATGGCCATGCTTGTACTGAGGCTGCTCACACTGTGTTGTTTTGTGGAAAACAGGGAGCGTCTAAATTTAAAGCTATGAAAATACTTTCCATCATCATCAAATTATATTTCAAGCAGCTAAAGTAGAAATAGTTCCTCTAATACAATGTTATTAGGAAGCCTGAGCTAAGCCGGCACAGAAATTTACCCTCTTTCTCCAGTAGGACCTTCTTTTCCAGCTTGCTGATAGAAGAAAGAAGGCGAGTCTATGGAAACCACACATGGGCCTTGGAGGAACACGCAGTCCTTTCCCTGACTGCGCGGCCTGTGCGGATAACGCTGCTGGCAACACAGGGGCCAAAAGCCCCTCCACCTACAGGGAACAAGCGCAGCCCTAACACGGTGAAGCGTATGAATGACTGTGTTTCTCTACAGAAATCTGGTTCAGAGGATCAGGGCAGGACTCTGAGTTAGGCCTGCAAGAAAATAATACTGTAACAACACGAAGATTATACTTTTATATTTTAGATTATCAACTCTGAAATGGATATTAATCACCCCCTAGGTTGACGTAAGATACAGATAAACCTGGTGCACCAGGTCAAGTAAGAAGAAAGGATATAAATACCAGACTGCCCCGCTTCACGCGCGAGACCCTTCTGCACAGGGGGAGCACTTCCATACTCATATTCAGCTTTGCAGGTGATGCAGCCCAGGCAGGCAAGAGGCAAGCGATCGGAAAATGGGTTGATGGGAGACCAAGAAATACCGGCAGATTTGTCACACACAAGCACTGCAGGGGAGACATCAGTGCATGTCATATTCATGCCTGATTAAGTTCTTGAGCACTGCCTGGTTCATTTTTTTGAAAGCTCTCCTTTGCAGTGGCTTTGTGCCTGTTTCCCTGCTACCAAGCCAAACTGTGCTTCAAGAAGTCTCTCCCAGATTGCCTCTATTCCCTCTACTCCAGCAGAATTATTTAGACTCACAACCTCTGGGTGGGTATAATGAGACCTCATCAAGATACTCTGAATTAACTCTGAAGTGCTAATAAAAGAAAAACACAAACAAAAAACCTCCATGAGACAATTCCCCTGATTAGTGATGGCCTGAGGCTATAAATTCTGTCAGCTACTTGATTCACTGCAGGTGAACTTGAACTACTGCAGGAAGTTCCTTATTCTTAGTGCCCACTTGTTTCTGCCAGTTAAAAAATTAGGGCACAGTGTTACTTTACAATTTCATATCTGAAGTATTTACTAATATTTACTTTTATAACATGCATGTTCATATTTCTAAGAAATGCCTTAGATACACCTATAACCCTATGTTACATGTCATAATTACTTTTTAATTTGAAAGAGTAACTGCAGACAGAGAAGGCATACATGTAGTAGGATACTTCAGTCCCTCAAAACGACAGGACTGCGAGCAGCAGACAACTCTGAAGTAGAGGGCACCTGCCA